TTGGCTGACACTGAAGACCAATGCATATTAGGATTGGACTATCTACTACCGAGGAAGTGTGAATTATAGCGTTTGTTATAGCGTGACTGTGGAAATTAAGTGTATTGCAAAGTTGTATTCAGAAAGAATAAACCAGTTTTATTTAAGAAAGGACTTGTATCGCTAAAGTTTTTTCGGAAAGTATTTTTACGTAAAATTAACTAACGACCAGAGACGTAACAGTTGGTAACCATTCACCAGTTTCCACCGCTATAAAGGTTTGTTTTGGCTCTTTGAACCGAATAGTGGGATTGGCTGTCATTCTTATAATGTGTCCACAGCTAAAAGTACGAAACGTGCTCAGCACCATCACGGTTCGAACTTTAGACTCTCTGATATGCAAATCGGCACGCTAACTAATGGGCCACGCCCAGCCCATTGCGTTTTTAGTGTCATTAAAAGAAATTATATTCAAAATAAAGCTGATTCGCTTCCTTAAGTATTTTTAGTGTTTTTAAAATAAGTAAGTTTTTCAAATTTAATGAAAAGAAAGTAGATCCGTTCTCACGAATATTTCTAATAATGTCATCAGAAAAAAAAAAGTTCACCTATTTCGTGTTTCTAATGTAATTATAAGTATGTTCGATTCCGTAAATATCTCACGTTTAATATGATTAGTTGATAAAGTTTGTTTGTTTGTTTGTTATTAAGCACAAAGCTACACAATGGGCTATCTGTGTTCTGCCCACCACGGGTATCAAAACCCGGATTCTAGCGTTGTAAGTCCGCAGACATACCGCTGTGCCACTGGGGGCTAGTTGATAAAGCAAATCCGCTTTCATGATCGTTTCTATAACGGCACCAGAAGAAGATACATCCTCTTTCAGGGATGTTTCTAATATTATCCAAAGAATACGAACCATGAATTTTGTAGGTACTTCTGATGTCATAAACAAAGTTTACTCACTTACCTAAATGTTTCTAATGTCACCAATACAAAATATAATCGCTTTTGTAAATGGGGTCACCTGTTTTAACCACTCGCAACACAATGCAGTAGTATGTTTCTGTCAGTTAGTCAATAGACACTAAAATGACTTCACATATAAAACGCTTAACGTTGCAATTTGTACTGTCTTGACGTCACTAAAATGTGCGCATGTCATGAATCTTTAAAAATTATACACTCCGTAGGCGTATGAACTTCAAAAGCAAGAAATAAAAATATTTGTTACTCTTAATTTTGGTTTTATTTACTCTTTAAAGAAAAAGTAGTAAAACTTTCTTTAAGCACTTTTGTGTTTTAAGTAGTTCATCTGAGAAAATTCTGAAATACTTTTGAAAAAAAAAATTGTAACATTTGGTTTTAAGTTTATATAAAATGATTGTATATAGTTTTTTCCCACTTTATTTTATTACAAATCACTAGACGTCGCAACGCATGTATTGGAAGGATTTGCATATTTGATATGGACTATAAGAATTTTGTATATCATCGTAGTATTGAAAAATATATCTTAATAATTAATTTCTAAATGTTATCAAAACACAGCATTTTAGTTTAAAATCGCAACGCCGTGTTTAAGTTACTGTTACTAAGCCTTACTCAGTATTAGTGTTACTAATACTAGTCTTAGCACTTTCTCGTAACACTAACGTTGTTAATGTTAGTAAGTAATGTTAGTAAAAACAGAGAAACTAAGTTAAACGTCCAAGCTTACCGATTGTTTATTTAGTTTTGAAATTTGAGGACTACATTTCTCTTGTATTATCAGTCATGATATTATTTCTACTGATAAATTGTAACTTGGTAAGCTAGGCTAACTCCGCACTTACAATTTACATTTATGAACACATCGATATGGTGTATTCGAAATGGGCCTAGTACTAGTATCTTTACAAGTGCATTTGTTTCTAATTCTATCTACTGATACTTTAATCTCTCAATGATATCTCAACCCAGTGTTAACCCCATTGTTCCAGGAGTCGACCCGTATTATCATCCTGAGGTTGAAGACACTGGTGTTAGTCCATATATTTTTCGCGAGTTTGCTTTTCAAAGTTTCATGAAAGAAATGAGTAAACCTGAAAATATGCTTAACGCCTTATCTTGGCGACGTCTACATTTGAGCAGAGCAAAGTTAAAGGCATCCAGTAGAACTTCTGCGTTGTTATCAGGTTTTGCTATGGTAATAATATCATGTTATTAATGGTAATGCATAAGAACGTAAAAAGTAAAAACTTTTAAACTTAAGTAATCATAAACTATATTTTAAATGTTTTGTCAAGTAAATAATACTAAGAAATAGGGCCTCAATTTCTTCCACCATGAATGGTTGTGTGTTGTTCCATTGTGGTTTATTTTTTAAGTAATGATGAAAATATTTGCTAGTCCCTAATGATTTAATGAAATGTAAGAATAAACCATGTGATAAAAGCCTGTTTTAGCGTTTATAAAGTTTAACATATACAATTAGATTTATGGACTTTCCTCATGATCTAACAAGCTACTACTACTACTACTAGTTTTCTGTTTGAAACTTTGCTTTATTTTTTGAGAATGTGTGGTACACATGTTTTTGATATTAAGAGAGGATGACATTTACTGATTTAGATAATAAACATTTTAATGTTAAGTATGCTCATAAATAAAGTTTAATTAAATATTAGATTGTTACTGATGTATCACAGTTATGGATTTATTTTTCCACAACTATTACAATTAATGTAATTAATTTTATTATACATGTACTCTGCCAGTAAATACACTGAGGTTGAGAAGACGTACTGTACATACTTGCATAGAGTCAGCAAAATTCTCAAGTTATTTTGCTGTGCTAGGAACATGTTTTGAAAAAATTATAGTCTGAAAGATTTAAAACTTACTATTATCATTCAGTTATTTTTCAACTTTTTTAAGTTTTGGTTTAACAATAGTATTGAAAATATTGCATTTCCCCTTCTAAAATTCTTGAAAATAACATATGCATTTTTAAGATGTACATTGGTTGTGGTCAGGAGCAGATTAAAATTTCCTGAGAAAATGATTTTTCTACCAGCCCACCAATGAGGTCAGTGGAGAGGGAATCGTGAAAAACTGAGCTTGTTGCTGCACTTAATGCTGCATAGTATATAGTGTGTACTAGCACTATTCACATAGTTCAGAAGTTAAAAATACATTGTGCAAAATGTTTCATTTACCATCTAATATATATATTATCCATTTTAGAAAAATATAGACCTACATGATAACAAAATTACATTTACTGAAACTAATTTAGATAAAAAGAATTATAAATGTAAAATAACTACCTGTTTATTGCTCATCTACATTACAAGCCATTATTGCTGACCCTGGTTTAAATAGTGTAAAAAAAAAATTCAAATTCATCCAGTGACCTAATCTACACTGGGTTATGGTGCTAATTACAGATAGTTTGAAATTTATTTATGATACGTTATAAAGTTATGATCTAAAGAGCTCACTATCTTTTTATTAGACTATGGAAGTCATTACAAAATGATAAAAGTTTAGAGATATTTTAAATATATCGCTTTTTTTAGTTTCCATTTTTCTTAATCTGTAAAAAAATTTAAATATGAAATTGTGGTTTTTGAAATGTTTGAAGTCATGTAATACAATTATGTGCATACTCTTCTATTTCAAAGAACATGGCAGGCTAGCATAAGTAACTTCTTTATTCTGAACATTTTACTGGATATTTTATCTTTCATAGAACCTCTCATTTGATGAAGAGAATCACTCACATTCAAACTTTTCCTGACAGCTTCCTTGGAGAAAAACATTGTATACCTAAATATGTTCCAAATGCTTTATCACACAGTTAGCTTTTCTTCTATAATATAAATAATATTAATTTGGACAACAGAATTTTAAATACATTTTATGTGTGCCAGAGTTCACATGCATGTTGACAAATATTCAAATATTATTGATTTGTTGTAAAATATGCTGATACAAAGAATATGTAAGTACATTCTTCATGTAACATTTTAAAGTTATTGTTCTCTTCCTCACTTTATTCTCAGTAATTCTTAGTAAGTTGAAGAATAAAGTTATTAATCTGTGTGAGTTATGAAAAATCTTAGGCTATAAGAATTCCAACTTTATAGCAAACGTGACACACTAATCTAAAAATATTAAATACTGAACATTATCATGTTGATCAATGTATAAAAGATTTAAATCTCAGACTTCATCATTCTGTAGGTAGGAAGAATTGCAATTAATAGCCCTGTTAATAAATTCTTCTGTAAATACATATACAGAATGAAAGCTAAGAAAGCCATAGGATTAAAAATGTATGATCTAATTTTGAAATGGTACTTGATTCTAAGAATGATTTGACCATGAGAATCATAAGGTACAGAAAGCCAGACTAAAATATTTCCGGGTTAAAACTGAAAACCTCATCTAGTCTTAGATCATAGGATTAAGTAGTATTTCTCATGCACATTTTAAACATTCATAAAAAATATTTAAACTTTTTAATAGTAAAAAAGTATGCCAAAATTTCTATTTGCCTTTGAGGTTATTTTGTATTTTCTCAGCCTTATTTTGTAGGATACTACTTAGAATAAAAGAAAATTTGAGCAATTTTTTTTTTACCAGGTGGCAATGGTAGAAGTTCAGTTGAGCCATGATATTCCTAAAGGATTACTGATTGCCTTCAGTTTTTGCACAACCCTATTAGTGTCAGTGCACATGTTAGCACTAATGATATCCACATGCATCCTTCCCAATCTTGAGTCAGTTGCCAGTGTGCAAGGGATATCAACTGTGTCTGAGTCCCCCCATGAGAAACTGCACATCTACATTGAAATTGCTTGGGGGTTTTCTACTGTGTTTGGTCTTCTTCTTTTTATGGCTGAGATAGCCATTCTTTGTTGGGTGAAATTTTACAGTTATAGCAAGAATGCTGCTGTGGCTGCAACAACTTTACTCATTCCTGTAGTGCTCATCTTCCTAGGATTTGCTGTGCATTTTTATCGGAAGTTGGTTGCTCATCAGTATGAACGATCAGCACATGGACTACGGGAACTAGAAACAATGGTATCTCAGCTTCAGAATGATGAAAGTGACATATCTAACACAAGACCTGTGATTACAGTGTAAGGAACAAAGACAATAATCAGTACTATATGATTTAGTTTTGCTCATTGGCAAATAGTAAACTGTTCTAAAAGTCATTTATCTTGTAAGTAAAGAGCCTGACCATTTGAATCTTTGTGTACGAGTATGTAGTTATACTGTTTCAGTGAGGTGTAAAATTTCTGTCATAATATTTTTCTAGAGAATATGTGGTATTTTGTACATATACATTATCATTTATGTATTTATATATATATATATATAAAGTATGTTTGTTTAAAATGTAGGCCGATAATGGAATTCTACCTGGCTGTGGGTAATTGGTATAATACTAAAATAATCAGTTATTCATTTTCACTGATTATATAGTTCAAGAAATCTAAAGCTGAAATGCAGAAGCGATGCAAAGTCAATAATGATCAGGTGTATATGTAAGTACATGTATATACATATATGTCTGCTTTACTACAGCCACACAATGAATATAAAGGAAATATCTGGCAATAAAGAAGCTTGACTGTGATTTAAATATATATATATATATAAACACACACACTCAAAACAAATTATGTAGTAATTAACGTGTAGAAATGTTTTTGTCAAGGGAGCTGAAAATTGGAAATAATTTGCTATTTGTTAATATATAAACTAAAAATGACAAACACTTGGAAAGCTTTCTAAAATTATTTGCTACTAATTTCATTAAACTTAGAAAAGAGGATTAAAATGGGGATCAAAACAACTGAAAACTAAAACATAAAAACTACATTTACTTGTACATTCAGGATTATATTAAGCAAAATGACCATTGGTTATTTCTTTGATCTACATAATCGAGTTGTTTTTCAAATTTCCAAGATGTAATGTTTTAGACAACTTAGTAACTGAAATATTAAGATCTAGTATCTTAGTGTATGACATGGATGCTTATATATTTTTTGGTTCTAATTCAAACTTGTATGTTCTGTGTGTGTGTGTGTGTTATTATACATTTTTGCAGGTTACCTTTGGTTTATACTGTACATTCATGAAATGAACATTCATTTGAAATGTTCTAGTGTAAAATCTTTCTTCAGAGGGAATATTACTGTTGTATAATTTCAACTGTTTAATTATGTGTATGCATATATAAAAGTGCAAAGATTAATATGTTTCGTTATATTACTGTTATTGTTGAGTCACATCACTTAAATTACTCTCAAACTTTTTTACATTGGTATTGAATTTGAATTTCACTGGCTGGAAAGACGACTTAAGTGACTCAAGTTGTCTTCTAGTAGTTGCTCTATCTGAATGAGATAAAAATATAAACCATATCAGTTTACACAAGTTTCGATATATATCTGATTTATTTTTATATATTTTTTGTCTTGTATCTAGGCATTCTTTTTTTCCTACAAGAATATCAAAAGTAGAACAAACACAAAATAATGTGTTGTAATAATGCTGTTATTGCACAGATTTGTTGTAAAAATATAATTATAGCTAGTTAAAAGAACATTTACATAAAACTTACGTTTATCATGAATAGATTTAATACAGAACCAGATTTTACTGAACTATCCATTGATTGGATTTTGGGAAATTGGCATCTTTGTACAAATACGGAAAGATAGACGGAATTGGTTTAATTAGATTGTAGTTGAGGTTGAATTTAAAACTTTTCAACGTCTTTCATAAATTATGAATTTAGAGACATTTGAATAACCATTTACAAGACTAGAAAAAGAGACACCATGTTAACTTGTTCTTTATTTTTCTGTTTTGTACATATATTTGATCATGTTTCAGCTAAAAGCTCTAATACATGTAACTTAATGGTATAAATAAATAACCTGGACAAGAAAAACATGTTTTTGAGACATGAAACTGACTGCCTTAAGAGTGTACTGAAATAATTCTTACCGTTTACATTTTCCATTGTCTACATTAATCTTGTACAGTGACAGTATATTGAAAAGATTCAGTGTTTATATAACAGTATGTACCGAGGTGTTAACCTTTTGAGTTTATTAAAAAAAAGTTGAGGCTTTGATAATAAAGAAATTTCATTGTGCCAAAAAAGAAAACGAGTTAAGGATAATATCTAATGTGTGTCAATGGTTGACAAGCTATATGATTTTTGATTATTAATAGTATAAAAAATCAAAACCTAATTTGTATAGGATGCTTTTTTTTTTTTAATAATTTCATTGATTTCGTTATGTATGCGTTTTTGTATGGTTATATATGTGAAAATCGAACTGTAAGGTTGAAATCCCTAGTGCAATGAAAACATCTTGTCAGGGTAAGTTAAGAAGTTTCGTGAAGTAATTTTTTAATTATTGTGATATAATGTTTACTATGTAATTGGCCTGTATCACACTTCCTAATTGTGCCTAGAAATTTCAGTATGTTTTTTTTATTCTTTTTGCATTCAATAATGAAATATACAAATGTAAGTAGTAAATGATAAATTTTCTATCTTACACATATTTGGTTAAATCTTTAGTTCATTTGGCAATTAGGATTATCGTCAGAAAACTTGTGAGGCATGCAAATACTCTGTTAGTGGTGGAATGGGTAATGCAGATTTTCCTCCCATTCCAAATACTCTCTATTTTCTTATCTTTTCCCATCCCAACAATTTTAGAATAAAATTTTTATTGTATATTTTATGGACTTTTTTCTAATGATTAGCATAGCAGTGGCGCCATCTATTGAGTAATATTTGTCAATCTAGCATTGCATATATTTTGGGCTGTAAATAATCTATCGTGGATCACTTGGGGCTCTAGGTTGAAAAGGCATATCTTAGGGAGTATTGAAGTGTTTTGGTGTGCATGCTGGAAGTAGGCAAGCTATGGTTTATAAGTTACAGCTGACGGAAAGGAAGAAAGAAAAACGAGAACCGAACTCATCCTTACATAGGCACTGCTACAGCGCTGCCCAATAAACCTTTATTTGAGGCAAATCAAAAGTATTCGCTGATGTTTAACGTCTGGAAAGTTGCCATGAAGTAGGAATAAAAGAACACTGAAATAAATTATGAAAGTGTATATGTATATTTATTTTACTTTAAGATATTACATATTAGTAACCTTCCAAGATAAATTACAATTTTGTGTTCAGTCCGTCGTTTGTAAATCAATACGTGCAGCATGAAATATTTCCCCATTTAGAAAATAAGTTAATAAAAGAAATATTGTTAAGAGATATTCTACCGTATGAATAAAAAAAAATCATACTTTTGTGCAATGAAATGCTTAAAATTTTTTTAAGGTATAAAAGTACGCATTGTACGGATATATTATACAAAAGAATAAACGTCGCAAAAAAGTTCAAAATTAATTAACAATTGGAGGAAACTTGCAATTAAGCATAAAATTTCTAAGACCCAGTCCTAAACTAAAATCGTTATTAAATAAAAATTACATAGAATTGTACAATATCAACGTCATTTATAAAATAACATGCAATAACTGTCCAGAATTCTACATCGGAAAAACCGGAAGAAAATTAGAAACCAGATTCACCGAACATAATGAAAAAAAACAACCTACAATGTTTACCACCATTGTAACTTAAAAAAAACCACAGTATATTTATACAGAACACTAATTTTAAACAAAGAACCAAACATCAATAAAGGAAGCTATCTTAATTGAACAAAACAGCCCCACCAAGATACTTTTACTAGACTGTGAAGCAATCTCCGGTCATGTAAGCTTTTTCTTCCACACTGTAAACTACTTCTACCCGAAAAGGACAAAATATTATCGAAACGTCGTACATTTACAATAAAGTTTTTGTATTACCCAGTCAAGCAATCTCCCAACTTTTAATTCTAAATTATGCTTGAATCTTGGTTTTTTTTAACAGCCCACGTGTCGCATAAGGTGTTGCTCTGGTTGAAAACACAAATTAAAGGTGTACATTTATTTATATAAGCGTAAATAAAATCACGACCTATATCTCCAGACTGTAACTTTATTAGCTCAATATTTCGCAATTACAATTTCGTCATGAGCTATCGATATTCTACCGTTTCTAGATACTACAATTCATGTCAGGAGTGAGGAAATCATTACTGGTATCTTCAGCAAGCCATATACTAAAGCTCTTTGTTAACATTTCCATTCACATCATCCCCTTGCTGTAAAAAGATGTGTCGTTATTGGCCACTTCCATAGAATTGATAAAGTTTGTAATAAAAAAGAAATGTGGGAGGAGGCTAGGGAAAACCTGATGACTCTTTTTAAGAAAAAATGCTTATCCACAGGATCATGTTTTGGGACCTATTGGTCCATCTCGGCTGTTCCATCCTCTAGCCACCCAGTGGCACAGCGGTATGTCTGTGGACTCACAACGCTAAAAACCGGGTTTCGATACCCGTCGTGGGCAGAGCACAGATAGCCCATTATGTAGCTTTGACCTTAACTTCAAAACAAACAAATAATCCATCCTCTAAACTAAATCAAAATAAGTAAATTTAAAATAATCTTAAAGCTATGATAAACTTTAACAGTCATGATAAAATATGTAGTTTTTATTGAAGTATTTAACATATAACATAACTTTTAGGGACAACATGGGACTTATTGGGCAACCTCAACTGTTCCATCCTCAAAACTAAACTTAAACTATTAGTAATTTAATTAAAGACAAAAATCTTAAAGCCAGCCCTTATTATTCACATACTTATCAAGCTTTTTCTTAAACGCACTTAAGTTTACTGCCTCCACAAAATCTGAAGGACAACCACCCTATTAAAAAAATAAAAGTGTCTTAGCTGAAGATGATTCCTGCCCTGCCAAAATTTATATCTGTGTCCCCTAGTCCTACTATTATCACTGATAAATATGAAAAAAGATGATGCATCAACACTATCAATTCCCTTTACAATCTTAAACACCTCAATCACATCCCCCTAACAATTTGAGAAATTCAACCCCTCCTCGTATGAAAACCCCTCTATCCTAGGCACCATTCTATTAACCTTTCTCTGAATACTCCAACAATTCAATGTCTTTCTTAAGGTAAGGAGCCCAATACTAGGAACTAAATATTCAGTTTTGTTTAGCTTGTTCTTATTTGAACTTCATAATATGCGAGTTTTGGGTTTCACTTTTATCCTGAAGCTTTTAGATCTTAATTTAACTTAAAGAGGGGGGGGGGAGGCATATCGAATTCTCCGAACTTCCAGTTGGCTACTCTGTGGGAAATCTCTTTTGCACGAGAAATAATATACAGGGTCTAACTGATATTAATCTGTATTAATATATATTTAAGTTTTAATATTTAGTTTTTACCCTCGCTCTCGGAGAGGGGGGGGAGCGAGGGTATTGTAATCGGGTCCGTTTGTATATCTGTCTGTGATTCCGCGCGCGTATCTCGAAAAATAATAGACCGATTTATACGAAAATTGTACACAAGATGGGAAGTCAGTATTGGACAGTCCTCCGCAAATTTGGTCCAAATCCAAGTCCGAATCCTGATTCTGGATCACTCTTGTTTTAAGCTGTGATCACTGGGCAAAGTAGTATGTATTATTTGAAACTATAAGACAGTTACCATTACAATGTGGATAGACGTTTTCTGTCTTTCTATTTCATACATTACACATAAATAGAAACAGACAAAGTAACTAACTAATAATCTTTTAATAATCTTAGTTCAACCGGCTTCCCAATAAAAAAGAATAAGAGGAATCAAAGAGATTGGATACCCTCGCCCCGACGCTTCTTTTCGAGATTGCATGCGTTTTTATTGGATAATGTCAAATTTCACCTTCGTAAACTCAGAAAATCCTTCTCAGATCAAGAACAATCAACGACCCGGATCATTTTTTGTATTGCGATGAGGAGTCTCAACCTTAATATGCTCATGAAATTTGGTACAAATCCGATCACACTTTAGAGTATTGTTTAACCCAAAACTGCGAAAGTGTTCTATCTTACTATTATAAGTAAATACTTCAAAGTGATCCAGAAACCGGACCCGGACAAAATTTGGGAAGGACTGTCCCATAATGACTTCCCATCTTGTGTAAAATTTTCACGTACATCGGTCAATTAATTTTCTAGCTACACGCACGGAAATACAGACAGACACACACACACATAGATCCGATTGCAATATCCACTCCCTTCTCTCTGGGGGCGAGATTAAAAACACAGTCTATGTATGTACATTGTTTTGAAACATTGACAAAAGATGGCGTAACGTAAACTGTAAATCAGAGTCCTATGTTAAGTTTGTTTGTTTTTAATTATGCACAAAGCTACACAAGGGCTATCTGTGCTCTGCCCACCACGGGTATCGAAACCCGGTTTCTAGCGTTGTAAGTCCGCAGACATACCGCTGTGCCACTGGGGGGCCCTATGTTAAGGTAATTTAAAAACGGTTTAATAAAGAACGATGTAGAACAGCATTCTAGTGACATATTATTTATTCAGTACAAACCCAAACACTGTCTTCTTACCCTTAATTACATAATTTAGTAGCCTTACTTTAAAATTAATTTGTTGAAGTCAGTTTTTAAAATAAAAATGACTGTACCTGTTTTATCATGATCTATGAGTAAATGATAAATAACAGTTTACTTCAAAAAACATACTTCAGAAAATAATAACCATCAGAAATATGCCTTTATAGGTTTTATAGAAGCATACTACAAATAAACATATAGAAACTAATTCTTCAAGTTAAGACGCAATACATTTGTTGATAAAAAATGAAACGGAAGCAGCAACAGAATATCGTTGAAACCATATGATTAAAACACGAAACGGATTACAGAGTTACTATTTTTAGAACGTAATTAAACAATACAGTCTAGACATGTATAACAACTGATGTCGTGTTTCATAACCCAACCACTAAAACCAGTCATTTCATGGTCATTGTAAATATTTAAATACTAGTGAGATTGCTTTATGTAAAAACTTCATACTTCCTATTAAACAGTTTGATTGCAGCTTCAAAACCTGTGCTTTGGTTTTATCTTCATGAGAAATTTTTGCCTATTACTCATTTCCTACTATTTCTTGAAGATGGCAAGTATAATTATACAGGATTCAAACTAGGTAACAGAGAAAATATTCTGGCAAACTGAGTTTCAGTTTTAAATACTAAAAATCCCAGTTACTGATACATTAGTTTCTTTAGAAAGCTCAAAATCTTGCCTGGTTTCTCAAAGTTTGATTCGCAAATTTTTTGTTGGTAGCTCATAACTTGTTTTATTTCTCAAAGTTTAATTCGCCAAATTTTTCAGATAACTCACAACCTTACCTGGCATTTCAAAGTTTCGTTCGCTTATTTTTTTGTAGGTAGCTCAAAACCTCGCATGGTTTCTCAAATTTTGATTCTCTAATTATTTTTAGGAATCTCAAAACCTCGCCTAATTTCTCAAAGTTTGATTTGTCAACTTCTTCACGAAACTCAAAACCTTGCCTATTTTTCAAACTTTGATTTACTAATTTCTTCAGAAAGCTCAGAATCTTTCTCAGTTTCCGGACGAGTAAATATTACTTCAATCTATTAAACAAAAAATATCCAGGACTGAATCTCGAAATTACCACCATAAAAACCGTTTTTCTCAGGACTTCTCGGCAAATGGTAGCACATCACCTACCGAAACGTTGAGCATGAACTATTTACATGCACACTTCGTCTTCTTCTTGATAACAACCATAATTCCACATAGTTTGAGGCCGGTCGATATTTTTGTAACCTCATAATTTTCACACCCAGGTGTCTGGCCCAGACAGCAACCATATAGGACGATATATGTTTAACGATAGCGATTCGAACTTATGAGCCTCATACCGGGAGTCGAGCGCCCTAACTACCAGTCCATGCCAGGCCCAGTATAATGCACACACAAAAAAATTAATTAATTAAGCATTAGACTCAGATGATCGTACAGACATGGGCGTCCACAGAAAATTTTCCAGTAAGAGGCAAAGTTTTCCAGGGGGCAAAACAGTGTTAAATTGAGAATTGAATATAAAATTCATATACATTAGTTGAATGAACTATAAAAATAATTATGGTTCTCATTTTCTTCTCCCCCCCCCCCCCCGCCGGAAGCCCATACTTGTGGGCTATCTAATAACCATGACAACGACCGAAGAAAACATTCTTACGGTTTACTGTCAGTGAGAATAATATCACAGCATAATGTAAAACTGGTAAGCATTTGCTTCCATAATGACAAATTATTACAGGAACTACATACTCAGCCAAATTTCCTACTGAAAGAAACTTAACTTTTTAGAGCAATACAAACACTTTCTCTGACCAAACATGGCATTTTCCTAACATGTCTGAACTAAACCGTTTGATACCGTGAGAAGATTGGTGTGTTTCAAGTCAACATTTGACAACCATAAAGAATAATAATGGTTCATATGTAGTTTTATTCTGAAGAAAATGGAGCCCGTATTTCAACTGAACTTCCAACAAACATTAGGGTTTCTCGTAATTATGGTTTCTTTAACATCAGCCACGAAAACGTGGTATGTTATATAATAATTTGATACGAGAAAAGTAACCAGTCGTGATTATGATAGTACGAGACAAGTCACAGAGGGTAGGAATTTTAAGTAAACATATACCTACATACAGTTCTAGAAATTAAAGGCTTAACATCCCATGCGACAAAGTGTGAAACTTCTTATATTCCTCGAAAAATAGAACAATTTTCTATAGCGCAAAGTTCAAAAAATAAAAACAATCTATCTCACTGATTTGGCTGAGAACAGAAACCGTAAACACCGAATAAAGTTCAAATATAAAAAATAACACTTATCAAAATTATAAGAATAACTTAACATGGAATTAACAACATAAAACTCGCCAAGTTTAATAATATCATAACTGTTTTTGAAGAAAGGAGGCGAAACTAATTTATTAGGAAAATTCTAAACAATTAAAGTCTAAAATCTTAAACAAAAGACAAGGAATATCACTTAGTTTCGCAGCTAAGCGGCTTCATTAACTATGGATATAAAGGTTCTGTTTCTTCCCAGCCACCAAGAAAACTAGGGAGCGATTCCGCTTCTTCTGAACTTCCGTTACACCAAGTTCCCATAGAACGCCAGCACCTGCCCTTACGTTTAATAAGCATAATAATAGTAGCAAAGATGGACATCATAATGAAAGCTCCACCTATGTACCACGAAAAAATTAGTGATACCCAGATGCGAAACTTATCAGATTTGTTTATGCTGGAAATCCACGGTGATAAGCCCGAAGTTGAGGGAGTAGAATTATTAAAGATAAACCCCATCTGAACTGACCAACATCCTTGCAATAAAGTGAAATATGACCTAACAAATTTCAAAGGGATGTGGGTAGGGAAACGCATCTCTGCAAAAGTGAATAAAAAACATAACAGCACTGTCCACACAAGAAGATACTGTATTTCCTCCTCCATAGATGATTTTATCTCGACTTTTGCCAAAATCAAAGCTTCGACACCAAACGCGAGTGCTAACACAAAGTTGCTGGTTCCTTTTGGAAAAATAATTTTTGATTGGCAGAAGATATCCACCACTCCAGATAATACAAACATAGCATACATGGACGCATGGTGAATGTCTTCTACATGTCTGAATGTTCCCTTTGGAAAGGCAGCACATATCTCTCTTGCAATACCGATGATAGCAAAAGATATTTTTAACATGCCTTCTAACGGCCAACGTCGATGGTCTGGACAAATTTTGGAATTTTTAGTTTCAATTGAAACCTTCCCTGACGAAGATGGAGTTTGCTGTCGTTTCAGTTCCGCTCGGTACCCGAACTTCCATCTCCGAACTCGAATTGCTCTTTGTCCCCGAGCTTCTAAAACCAAGACATGCTGCAGCGTCCAGTAGAGTGCAAACAAAATTAAAAAGCCTCCTAGAAAAACAAAATCGGCAAATTTTCTCATTTTGTTCAGACTTTCAAGAACATTACACAAATCACGAATACAGTATGTTAATCGTTTAACAACAGATAAACAACAATGCTAGATCGTTTGTTAACACCGATATATATTGTAATCGCAAAGTCATGCTATATACTTTTTAACGGAATATTACACAAAGTAATTCACAGGAGTTTTATTTGGCAACACAGCGTTATCAGTTCAGGTTCAATTTTGTTCCCTGATATGAAATAACTCTTTACAAATAGTCTTCGGTGATCAAAGTCCTTGAATGTTCATGCAATGCACATAAAAATGTCGCTTTAGTCTCTTCAGTAAAGGAGTTTGTTCGTTCGGCCCTTTTCTTCGGGCTAGTAACAAAAAACAGAGAATTTAAGGATACGCGAATAATTCGGTTTCCGCTTTGTCTTGTGAAAAACTTGTTCTAATCAATTTCATAGCAGGTCCATTGAGTAGGAGATGCCACCTGGTGAGTGTCTCCCTATCATAAATCCTGCAAAGAAGAGGAAATTCCAATATCAGATCATTAGAAAAGAGAAATTGTCAGATATGTATTGATTCTGTTATTACCTGGAAGGGTTAGAAATTTTATTCTATAGAACCAGGTTAAAAAACGTTATAGGTAGGCTTAACACTAGTAATGTGAGCAAAAAACAAAAACAAAAAAGTACATTTCATGTTCATTGTTTTTATTTTACCGTAAATATACAATAATAGAGACGGCGATTTATATAATGCAACCCATTAAAAAAGAATCACTTATAAAAACAGGGAAATGAATGGGTAACGAAAAAAGTTAGAATACAAGCTCTTCATCTGAAACAAAATTATTGTACATGAAATGTCCTGATGAAGTATGTTACACGTTATTGTACATGAAATGTCCTGATGAAGTATGTTACACGTTATTGCGTACCTTATTGACACAATAAAAATATAACCCTAACTTAATAACACTAATACAATTTGGTATGGTGATTAAACAAAGGGTTTATTGGAAGAAATTTAGGATTACTAATAGATCACTAGGGCGCTTTCATAAACTCAAACATTAAACAAACCCATATTCTCGCTGACCAGTGAATTACTGAAACAGTCTTACCACAGCATATTGACCAACACATATGGTGATAATGTTGTTAAATTTACTCACTATTAAATCTTTGGACTCAGCGTTAAAATTTTAAACAGAAGTATTAATATTATATGTATCTTTACAGATTTCTCAAACGTAAGCATATCTAAAGAACAGCACCTTAGTATTTTTTCACTGCATTAATTATTTATATTCTCACGATACTTCTGTTGGCATCTTGTTTCAAGATTGTGTCTAAGCGTTAAAAACAAGGTGTTAATAAATTTTCACTGTTTAGAAGATTATTGCAAATACATGTTATTTCTGTTTCAGTCTTTCTTTATATATATATACATGTTTCCTATACATATATATGTTTGTGTGTGTGCTTTTTTCTATACATATATATATATATATATATATAAATTTTATGTTTTTCTCTCATTATATATATAGTACCCCCAGTGACACAACGGTATGTCTGCGGACTTACAGCCCTATAAACAGGGTTTCGATACCCGTGGTGGGCAGAGCACAGATAGCCCATCCATTGTGTAGCCGTGTGTTTAATTACACACAAACAACCAAACTCGATATATACATATATGTTTGTGTGTATATGTATGATTCTCAGACACTAAATAGCTCACTATTTCATGGATATAAATTGGTTTTAAAACTTTGTTTAAATAACCTTTTCATATTAGTGCTTCACGTAATTAAAGTTTCAATAATAGACTGACATTGAAGAAGAACCAAGGTTAACCTTAACCGCCCTCTATGACCATGAAAACTGCTCAAGAATATCGAAGTGTTCAATAACTCCTGCTTTTATCGGCTCTGGTTTTAGATGTTGCGGATAGTAAAGCCGTGGATGAGCGATTTCACCTGCTTTTTATCTCCCCTTCATCCAGTTTAAGCATAACATAGAAAAAAAGTGTGAAGTGTTCCAAACGATCAGTAGACCGTGACAAAACGAGCTTGTTAAGGTGGAGTGAAATCCCTCTGTTTATCTAAGACAAAAAACAGTTTGAACTCGAAAACATAACAACGATATAAATACAGTGCACTCGTACTCGGTGGTTTTAAATTAAGTTGCAATAATGAAGAATGTTGTGGCACAACGCGTTGAGAAATTCAACAAGCTCATCATATGTAAATAACACGTCATAACACGTTCAGAAATTCAACAAGCTCATCATATGTAAATAACACGTCATAACACGTTCAGAAATTCACTAAGCTCATCATACGTAAGTAACACGTCATAACACGTTCAGAAGTTCATCAAGCTCATCATATGTAAAAACACCTCCACAAATTTATCATACATAAAGAAGACGCCCCAACCCATTACATTATTTCCTCTGACACATTTGCAAGATATATCAAACAAACGCTTTTCAATAAAGCTAAGCGTTTGAATAGCCCAGCTTCAGATCTTACCGATAAAATTAAACAATGCCCGCCCCCCGTCGTCAGCTCTATGATAACAATAAGGATTCATAATACTACAATTCGTGATTCGATACCCGCGGCGGGTACATCATAGATAGTTTATTGTGTTGTTTTGTGCATTGAAACAAACAAGTAATAGATGAAATAAAAACACCCATATTTAAAAAGAACACAAAAAACATGGAGCCGGTCAGTAACTCTTCTTCAAAGTTTTCTTATCTATTGATTATGTGTAAATTTGGGTATAAAAACTTGTATTTTAGGGATCTATCTTCGTGTTTCTTAAGTTCATACACACCCTAATAGTATATTTAGAGTAAATTTTGGTAAAAACCTTGCATTTTAAGGATCTATCTGCGTGTTTCTTAAGTTCATACGCACCCTAATAGTATATTTATAATAAATCTTAGTATAAAACCTTGAATTTTAAGGATCTATCTGCTTCTTTAGTTTACACACGCCCTAATAGTGTATTTATAACGATCATTAATCTTCATACACAACTGGATTTTTTTTATCTCTGACATTCTTAAAATGCGATGACAATAGGAAGTTTTCCTGGCTAAATATTCATATATACCTGGTGTTGACCTTATTTTTTACTTTACACAATTTTAAAGAGGTAAAGCAAAGTTATAAAAACTATATCCTAAAAAAATCATTTCTATGTATGCCACTGTGGACAAATTACTATATATACACTGCAGGAGTTTCGAGAGCAGTCAAAAACAATGCTACTAATTAATTCCTTAATAATACATTACTCTATGCAATATTTGTTCAATGTTTCCTACACTTTATGGTAAAAACAAAATGATAAAAAGGCTTGACTTATATTCTATTTCTGTCGCTATAGAGGAGTTGGCTTGAAAAGAAAGGAGTTATAGTCTATGTTTCAAATCTTACCTTTTTTCATGTGACAATAACTCCTAGTTGTTTACATATAACTTCTATTGTTGTAGACTCCTATTAATTTTTAAACTCGTAGCCGTTCACACAGAATTTCTATTGTCGTCAACTCTAATTACTTTTTAAATAGCAGCAAGAAGATGTCAAACTTCGAAAATTAATTTCTGCTTAAAACAAGAGTATGCAAGATTGCTAGTTTTGTAAAGACCACACTCTTCAGTAATAATACCTTTCACTGCACCTTAACATTTTAGCTGCCAGTGGGTTTGTGTACGCATCTTTATAGCTAACAGAACGTGATTCGCGTAGGAATTAGATGGCAAAGTAACTTGGTTGGATGCTAGTTTTTTCTTGACCCGTTACAACAGTTGTCAGAACAAGTTAAACCCGGAGGCTAAGGTTGTTTTTATAGACTTATGAAAATAGGCTTAAGTCTTGAGCAGCATATTGTGATTACTTATAGTTGCGAACCACGAGTTATTGCCCATGATTAAATTTTACAGAGCCATCTCTGGAACACGAAATACTCACAGAACACATGGGCATGCCTGCGAACAAAAAACCACTCCGGTAACTATTTACTAAATAGAGGACAAATGACGCTTTCCCTTAACACACATTTAAAGAGTAGTCTACCAAACCAGTCATGAAGTAAAACTTCCGCCTGGAGATCAGGATCATTGTATATTGGGAGAAATAGAAAATTACATGTTGACAGTAAATAACAGTAAATTACCAGCGTGTGCCCACAAAGAGCAAAAAAGAAATTATTGAATCAACTAATTTTCCTGACACTTGCAGGTTGAGCGTTAACATAGTTATTTTTATTCACTTTCAGATTCTGTAGAGTAATATCTAGCCCACAGAACTTTTGAGCAACCAAAAACGCCATAAAACTAATTTTTTGCAACAAAAATAGACAATGCAGTTAAAACGTGAGAATATTGAGTTTTTTTTTTTTTTTTGAAACAAACATATCTTGAATTCAACCAAACCTTCTCATTATTAAATTATAAGGCCATGGATGATCCTAGGCCTTCTCTCTTTTTTTGAATGATAAACTAATAGGAGGCTCTGTATCTCATCTTTATTAAATATTAATGTTATAAATGACTCCTTATATTCTTTTTCAATCCACCTCTGGCAAACTTTAATGAGTATTATTCTACCAACATTCGAAGTTATACGCTTGTTTACCCACCATCATCCTCCAAGTTGAACAAAAGATCTATCAGTGTAACAAATTTGAAAAAAAAATCCATGAAAGTTAAGTACGTTTTTCCATAAAATAAAGTTTCCGTACTTTCGGTGCAAAGAAGAAAAAAAAAAGAGGAAGAAATTCAATCAAAATTGTAAATTTCATATTTCGTGTATTTCTTAATGGATTGCCTTGAAAGTTGGTATGTGAAGTAAGGGTCCAGCAGAGCATATCTACTAAAAATATGTAATAGTTTAGACAGTTCGAGCTACAGAAAGTGGAAAATTGCTGAACTATCACATTATGTCCTGCAAGTTGTTTTGGCCGCACTACACGTTACCGTGTGTCTTGATTCTCTCAGGA